GACGTGCTAGCAAAGTTCCAGGTGAGCATGTATTCTTCCACCACATTACTCTTCTCAATCCATCAATCAAACCTGCTTACACCTTAGAGCAGCAGTTCTCAACCTGTGTGTTGCGACCCCTTTGGCACTTGAGCAACCCTTTCACAGGGGTCCCATCCTGCCTATCAGATATTTACATTATGATTCCTAACAGTAGCGAAATTACAGTGATGAAGTGGCAACGAAAATAATTTTATGGTTGGAGGGTCACCACAACATGAGGAACAGTATTCAAGGGTCAAGGCATTAGGAAGGTTGAGAATCACTGCCTTAGAGGATGTGCATGAAAGTACACTACTCATGCAAAATTGAAAAATGGGATAAATAGTATTGTTTCTGTGGGAGTTGCCGTGGGAGTTGAACTTGTATGAAAGTATAGGAGTGGAGTACACCCCTCAATCAGGTGATGGCTCCTGGGAGGTGTGGCTTTTTTCTGAGAGGCTGGGGAGACCTCTCCTCTCTCTCTGCTCCTTCATCTTGGTGCTTGCTAGGAATCGGTGCCTACCTCTAGGGGTGGCCCCATGTGATCTAACCAACCCCCAGAGCTGTTGGCACCATAACATGTTTCGATAGACCTTGATCCAAGTGACTTTTCACCTACCAGCCTGGGATCTTGCTTCCAGCGTCACCTTTTGCACCTTCAGCCTGTAGTATGTCAGTCTGAAGAGGTTCCCAACTAGCATCTAACCTTTGGACTTGAGTTGCACTGGGCATCCTGATGTCACTGGTTTTGTTTCTCTGGACAACTCAGCCCAATACAGGTGAATTGGAATCATTTTGGACTGAAGTGTCCCTAGGGACAACAGAATGAAACGCTTCCCATGTTGTGCCATGTTCACAGTTACTGCTTTGTTTGAGCCAACTGCTGCAGGCACTGTATCACTCCATCTCATTGAAGTTCTTTTTTGCCGACTCTCTATTTTTCTACGCATCATGATGTCCTTCTTAAGGTACTAGCCCATTGACTTTGATAATTAAAATTTTTTTGTAATTTCAGAAACTCTCTCTCTCTCTCTCTCTAATATATATATATTAGAGAGAGAGAGTTTTGTAAAATGGAACTGTGTTCATGGCTCTTTGTTTATTGCTGACATTTAGCTACCCACCTTCTTAATTTACCAATATCAGTTGGCCAAAAGGTAATAAAGATTTTTCTTCAGCTTCAAATAAGATCAGGTTTCCCTGAAAAGTGCACATACCCTTCAATAATGAAGGAATTTATTTGTTTGTTTACCATCTCCGAATCTCATCCCGGAGTGGGAGTGTGGCGAGGACACTGACAGTCAATTGTCACACTCCGGACAGTATTGCCAAGCAAATAATGAAATGGGCACACACACGTGTCAGTTGTTTTTAAGGTTGCTGCAATATAAAAAGTGGACATATTCTTCCTGATAGAGTATTTTTATTTGTCTGAGACTTTGGGTCATACTATGCGAGTTTGGCCAGATAAGTTTATCTTAACTCTGTGATGTATGGTGAAACCCGTTTTTGCACAGGGGAAGGAGGGTCCAACTGTCACATGCATATGATGCAATGGAGAATACCATGGCTTGGGTCAAGTGCCCCTTAGTCCTCAAAATAACATCCTTGCTCTTAAATATTCTAAAGAGAACTTGTGCAGCATATTTACCTAATGCAATACATCTTTTGATTTCTTCACTGCTGCTTCTATGAGCATTGATTGTGGCTGCAAGTAAGATAAAATCCTTGAGAACTTCAATCTTTTCTCTATTTATCATGATGTTACTTACCTATTGGTCCAGTTATGAGGATTCTGATCTTCCTCACATTGCTTGTAACCCATACTGCAAGCTATAATCTTTGATCTTCATCAACAAGTGTTTCAATTCCTCCTCACTTACAGGAAGTAAGTTTGTGTCACCTGCCTTCCTCCGATCCTTGTCACAAACCTTCCTCCAATCCTGATGCCACACTCTTCTTCAGAGAGTCCAGCTTCTCTGATGATTTTCCCAGTATAAAGATTGATCAAGTATGGTGAGAGGCTACAACCTTGATGCACACCTTTCCTGATTTTTAAACCATGCAGTGGTCCCTTGTTCTGTTCACACAACTTCCTCTTAATCCACAGTCAAATGCCTTTGACTAGTCAATAAAGCACAAGCAAACATCTTTCTGTTATTCTCTGCTTTGAGCCAAGATCTGTCTGATATCAGCAATGATAGCCCTTGTTCCAGGTCCTCTTCTGTATTGAGCCTGAACTTCTGGCACTTACCCTTCAATGTACTGCTGCAACCATTATTGGATGATCTTAAACTACATTTTATTTGCATGCAAAATCAACGATATCATTCCATTGTTTGAGCATTCTATTCAGTTGTTTTTCCTTAAATGGGTACAAATATGGATCTTTTCCAGACAATTGGCCAAATAGCTGTCTTCCAAATGCCCTGGCATAGATGAATGAATGCTTCCAGTGCTTCTTCAGCTTTCTGGAACATTTCAAGTGGTATTCCATCAACCTCTGGAGCCTTGTTTTTGGCTAACGCATTCAGTTCAGTTTGAATTTCTTCCTTTAGCACCATTTGTTCTTGCTCATAGGCTACCTCCTGAAATGGTGCAATGTCGACTAGTTCTTTTTTGTAAAGTGACTGTGTGTCCTTTCCATCGCTTCTTGATACTTCCTGCATCATTCAATATTTTGCCCACAGAATCTTTCAAGATTGCAATTTGAGGCTGGAATTTTTTTTTTCTGAGCATGTTATTCCCTTTGGTTTTTAATTCTAGGTGCTTGTGCATTTCATTATAATATTTGGCTTTGTCTTCTTGAGCTGCCCTTTGAAAGTTTCTATGCAGCTCCTTGACTTCATCTTTCTTCCATCTGCTTTTGCTACCCTGTGATTCAGAGCAAGTTTCGGAGTCTCTTCTGACGGCCACTTTGATCTTGTCTTTGTAAGGACCTTTGGCTCTCTTCATGAATGATGGTCTTGATGGCCTCCCACAGTTCATCAGGTCTTCCGTCTTTGCTGTTGAATGCATCAGATTTGTTCCTGAGATGTTCTCAAAATTCAGGTGGGAGAGACTCAAGGTCGTCTTTTAGCTCTTGTGGGCTTGTTTTAATTTTCTTCAGCTTTATTTTGAATTTACATATGAGCAATTGCTTATCTGTTCCACAGTCAGCTCCTATTCTGATTTTAGCAGCTGATATTGAGCTTCTCCATGTGTCTTCCCACAGATGTAGTCCATTTGCTGTCTGTGTGTGCCATTAGAAGTCCATGGATGTAGCTGCCTTTTGTGTTGTTGAAAAAAGGTATTTGTCTTGAACAACTCGTTGAATTTGTCAATTCTATCACATGATCTCCAGCTTCATTTCTATCACCAAGTCCATACTACCCAACTATGAATCCTTGTTTCCAACGTTTGCATTCCAATTGCCAATAATTATTAATGCATCTGGATTTCATGTTTGATCAATTTCTGATTGTCATTGTTGGTAAAATTCTTCAGTTTTTTCATCACTAGCTTTTGTGTGCAGTGCATCCATTTGAATAATAGTTGTGTTGATTGGATTTCCTTGGAGGTGGATAAATACAACCCTGTCACAAACAGCGTTGTACTCAGTGATGGATTTAGCTAGATCCTTTCTGACAATGAATGCTATACCATTACGCTTGATTGTGTTTCTCCCAGCACAGTAAATCATACAATTTTCTGATTCAAAATAACTAATACCAGTCCATTTTAGCTCTCTAATCCCTGGGATATTGATCTTCATCTGTTCCATTTTGTTTTTGACCACTTCTAATTTTCATCAATTCATATTTTCTTGAATTTATAGTATACATAAAAGGAACTTAAAGGAGAAAGATTGAATATGGAAAACCTGTTATTTTTGAACATGTACGTCACAGCATGAGAAAAAATTGCTCAGCTGCTCATAAAGAGAAAAAATTATTTACAATGAGACTTATACCACATAGAAGCCGTAGTCCTTGCCATCATAAGAGAGATAGAAATGCTCCATTCCAGTGGGTATGAGAAAAAAGGTCACATTTCATTAAAAATTGGGTGATTCGATATCTCTAAATAGAAGAGTGGGGATTCTAGCACCTGACCTTTAACATGATTCAGTGAGAATCGCAAACTATGGAGCTTGAACCAAGGTAAAAGTGGAAACATTTATGATTCTGTAAAAATTATGTAGACCCCTATCCTCCGTTACTCATTTAAGTAGCCTCCTTATTCTTATTGTGTTCAGTGCAATTAAGTTGGATGAACCCAGTACTTACTGTTGTGGCTATCATGAAAAAAAACAACACAAAAACCCCCATGAAGTTAACACGTGTTCTTCCACATTGGCCATGAATTAGCATTGCTGGATCTGCTCTCTTGGGCTTATGACGAGAGAGGACGCTTGCTGGCCAATCCCAGCGGGTGAAACAGAACATCCCAAGCTCACCCACAGGAAGATGAAGTCTGCACTTGAGCTATGCCGACAGTGCCCCCACAGCAAGTCCCTGAGTTAGCGGGGCTAGAGGGTACCTTGATGAGAACTCCCATGGCAGCGTTGCACCTCGTTAAGCCCCAGCAGTGCATTAGGCTCCGCGTGAAGCTGCCTGGGTGCTCATGCTTCTTCTGAGTGTCGCGTCAAGCCTTCGCTTTCTGGTTGCTCATGCCCCTTTCCCTTCCTCCAGCCTGCATCATGCCACCCTTTCAAAGTTAATTTCTAAAAAGAACCTGGTATGCTTGCCAATGGAAGCATCACATCTTCTGAGGGTTCTGAATAACAAGTTGTCTTTTATTGTGGATTGTTTTTCTTCTTATTGTGGTCAAAGGGGATTGCCCATCATATTCAAAACAAGAATTTAAGATGGTTCTTCAATAAACTTTACTCACTGCTGAGGTGAGAGAGGGAGAGGTGATAGAAAAGGAGAGGAGACAGAGAGAGGTGGATCTAGAAAGAAGCTTTTTCAGCATTTATTTCTTTTTAACTTTTACAGCGGAAACCCCCAATGGTGGTAGAGGACCTCTTTGAAGACATGAAGGATGGGGTCAAGCTGCTGGCTCTCCTGGAGGTCCTGTCTGGGCAGAAACTAGTAAGATCCCCCACCCCACCCCACCCCC